ACACACACACACACACACACACACACACACACACACACACACACATCCCCTTTATTTTGCCCTTCTCAGTGGCATTTAGCATGTAATAGCGTTTGTGCCTTTGTTATATTGAAAGCTCCATGAGGGTAAGTACTTTGTCTTCTTTAACCTTACCTTTTCCCAGTGCCAGCACAGGGCTCTGCACAGACTCTGTACTTAACATGTTTGAGCATCTCTTATGCTGGAGCCCCAGGTTACATCTTCAATAAGGCCAAAGTGAAAAAAAAGATAGACCCTGAGCTCACTCAAGGAGCTCACAATCAGATGGAGAAAATAATTCGACTGCAACTTGAACAAATATTTATTAAGCCTCTGACGTGTCACACACCACATATGAGATAGCCTAGGAGATGTTCTCCTTCCTCACCTCCACCTGCTGTCTCCTCTGGCCCCCTTAGCAGCCTCTTAAAGCTCCTTTCCACTTACTAGCTGTGTGAACCTGGACAAGTCACTTAACTCCAATTGCTTCAAAAAAAAAAAGCTCCTTTCTCTTCCACCCATCAACTCATACCTTTCTTCTCTGAGATCATCTTCCATTTACTGTATTTATCATGTATTTACCTAGTTGTTTGTGTGTTATCTTTCTCATTAGTATGTGAGCTTCTTGAGAGCAGAGAGTAGGTTTTTTTTTCCTTTTTTTTTTATCCTCAGTGCTTAACACAAGTGACTGGCATATAGTAAGTACTTGAAAAATATTTGGTGATAATGAAAAGTTACTTTAACTGAGCTTTGATTTTTTTTCTTTTTTAGGGAATTGGGGTTAAGTGACTTGCCCACTGTGACACAGCTAGTAAGTGTCTGAGGTCAGATTTTAAACTGGGGGCCTCCTGACTCCAGGGCCAGCACTCTATCCACTGTACCACATAGCTGCCCCTTTTGTTTGTTTGTTTTTAACTGGGCATCAAAAGACAGACATCCATATGAGTAGGAAAAAAGGGAAAAGTTACACTCTGGGAAAATGAGTTCAGCAAAGACACAGATATGAATATAAGCATAGTTTTTAAAGGATTCAATAACTAAATGAGTCTGGTTGGAATAAAATGTTCAAATAGGGAAGGATGAGAAGTTAAGATTGAGGAAGGGAGGCACAAATTGTGGAGGGCCACACTAAGGAATCTGGCCTCTGTTCCACAGGCCAAGGAGAGCAGTGGAAGGATGTGACCAGAACAAGTCACTGCCAATGCCTTCCCTTAGTTGTTTACCTCCAATTTATCTGTATATATCTTGTTTGTCTATACTTGTTTTCATATTGTCTCCCATATTAGATTATCAGTTCTTTGAAAGCAAAAACTATCTTTTGCCTTTCTTTGCATCCTCAGGGTTTAGCTTTGGCACATAGTAGGCATTTAATAAATGCTTCTAGATTGACTGACTACAGGATTGACTACAGGAGGGACCAGAAGAGGAGAGATTGGAGGCAGGGAGACATATTAAGGTCAAAATGAGTAAAGGTGCAACTGAGCTTCCTTTCCACCACTGATAAGCCATCCAAGACCCAGGTGTAAGAAGAGAAGGACAAAGTTAAGTTTCTTAGACAATCTGGAATCCTAAATGGATATAGGCTGGAGGCAACTAGGAGGGAAGTATCCTGTTTCTGTTGAAGCCACTTCCATCCTTCCGATCATTCAGGTTCAAAACCTCAGGGTTACCTCAACTCTTTCCATCCCTTCATGCTTATAACTCGTCAGTTGCCAAGTTTCCTCGATTCCACTTCCACAACATCTTTCCCATCTTGTCCTCATCTCTCCAGCCACACAGCCACAATCCTAATTCATTACCTCTCACCTGGACTATTGTAATAGCCAACCCTTTGGTCTCCCTGTCGCAAATCTTTCCAATCTATCTTCCACATTGCTGCCAAAGTGATATTACTAGAGCAAATGTCTTCAACCGACTCATTCTCCTGCCCAATAAACTCCAGCAGCTCCCTATTATATCTAGGGCTAACTATAGATTCTTGTGCTTGGCATCTAAAGCCCTTTACAACCTAGCTCTAACCTAATTTTTCAATCTTATTATATATTACATCCCTTCACACACTATAATCTAGCCAAGCTGAACCTTCTCTCTGTTCTTCCAACATGGTTCTTTATCTCCCATTTCCATAACTTTGCATAGGCTGCCCCCATGCCTGGAATAAACTCCCTCCTCACATTCACTTCTTAGAATTCCTAGTTTCATTCAAAGCTTAGTTCAAATATCACTTTCTTCAGTAAGCTTTTTCTGCTCCGGCCCCACTACTAGCGCTGTCTCTCACTACCACCACCTCATGCAAAAAAAAAAGAAAAAAAAATCTCCTCATATCTACTTTGTATATATTTACTTGTATATGTTTATTTTGTATATATCATCTGATATCTACTTTGAGTCTTTCTACATGTATACCTGTTGTTTCCCCCTACAGAATGTAAGCTACTTGAGGGCAGGGATTATTTCCTTAAGGTCTTTGTATGTCCTGTGCTTAGCATAATGCCTGATACATAGCAGGTACTTAAGAAATCATTGTTGACCAACTGTCTGCTTGACTGTCATCATTCATTATCTACTCTATCTACTGAAAGTTTGTTATCTTCAGTTCTTCTACTATCATCTGGTATGAGGAAGAAAACTACATGACTTCCCACTCATCACAGGATTTGGAATAAGAAGAGGTGTCATTCACCAGACTACCAAAGGAGTTCATCCATGACATATATACAAAAGCTTAAGAACCCCTACTCTTGTCAGTGTCTTTTCTAAAATAAGGTGTCCCAAACTGAACACAGCATTCCAGATAGGACCAGGCAGATGATAGTAGAACTATTGTTTTCCTTATTCTGGACCCCTCACCTCTTGTAAAGCAGCACAGGGTAGTGTTGGCATTTTTGGCTACCAAGTCACACTTGATGACTCGTATTAAACTTGCCATCTACTAAAACTCCCAGGTCTTTTTTTTTCTTTCAGAAAATTGTTATCTAGCTACAATTCTCCCATCCTCTGTTTGTGAGGCTAATTTCTTGAATCCAAGTATAGAATTTTCCATTTATCCTTAATGAAAGGGCTCTCATTCAGTTTGGCCTATTGTTCTAACCTATAGGATAATTTTGTATCTCAGCTCTAACATCCAGTAAATTAGCTGTCCCTTCCTAGTTTTGCCTCACCTGCGAATCAGTAAGCATGCCAGCCATATCTTCATCCAAGTCACTTATAAAAATGTTGAATAGGACAGAGCCTATAATTCTATGATGAAAATATCATAAGATCCTGTGATTTGGAGCCAGAAGAGACCTTAGAAATCATGATATGCAATGCCTTCATTTTACACTTCAGGAAAGGCTCAGGAGGGTTAAGTGATCTAGCCAAAGTCACGCAGATGGTAAGTAGAAGATCCAAAATTCAAGCCTAGATCTTATGACTCCATATCTAATCCTCTTTCCCCTAAACCACATTTTTTTTCTGAGTCTCAGCTTCCCTATCTATTAAATTGGGATAATGGCATTTGCATAAAACTATTGGGGGAAAAAAACATTTTGGAAGCCATAAACCATTATAAAGATATGAGTTGTTGCTATTATTAATATTCTCTACCTCCCTTGACTCTTACATCCTTTCCTGGTTTTCTGGAATGAGACCAGTTCCCTTGGATTGCATTCAGTCAGCTCCCCATGTTCAAGTTACAAATCATACTCACACTTCATCAAGGTCACAGCAAGGCTTGTCACCCCCAGGAGCAATGCTATCCCCACCAGCATACAAAGGCACACTGCCATTTTCTCTTTCCGAGTGAGCTGGGGGATCTTTCTTTTCTGCCTGGACTCGAGCACCTGGGTAAGCTGAAACCCTTGGCTGAACTGAGGTTCCTGAGTGAACTGTGGCCCTTGACTTGGCTGGAACACATGGCTGGGCTGGGACATCTGGCTGGACTGGGGTACCTGGCTGAGCTGAAACCCCTGGATGAGCTGTGGATGGGGAACAGCTGTGAAAAGCAAAAGACATCAAATCTTGAGGCCAAGGAAAGAAATGATTCCTTGGGTCTTTACTGAAGAGAGAAGGAAGGAATCATAGCATCATATTGATTCCAGAGATGGAAGAGACATTAGGGACCATCTAACCTGGGGTCCATGGACCCCTAACAGCACTGTGGATAGATTTCAGGGGATCTGTGCACTTGATTAAGAAAAATTACATCTTTATTTTCACTAACTTCTAATTGAAATTTGGTACTTACTTCAATTATTTAAAAAAAAAAAACACGTGAGAAGGGGTACCTAGGTTTCACTAGGCTCCAAAGGGGTCCAGGACACAAAAAAACAATGTTAAGAACTCTTATTTACAAATGAGAAAACTGTGACCCAGGGAGTTTAAAGGGGTCTCTCTTAGCCATGATATAGATAAGATACCAGAACCCAAACACATGGCAGAAGCACGAGAATGGCACACACAGTGACTACGCCATAACAAAAACATCACCTCAAGGCAGCTGGACTCAGATTAAATGCAATGAACCATTCTGGTTCTAGAAAACAGAGGACATGACACACATCCTTCCTCTCAGGGGAAAAGTGCAACTACAGTTACAAGATTTAGGCTACATTGTCAGACTTAGTTGCTTTGCAAGTTTGTCATACTTAACAATTTTTCTTTGTTACAAAGGAAAATCCAATGGGAATTGGTGAGAAGAAATGATTATCATTTTTTAAGACATACTTTTTTTTAATACGGAAATAAATGAGAGTTTGGCAGTGGGAGGTCCTAAACTGATGACTCAAGATGCTCCAGTTATAGTTTATCCTTCCCAAGCCAAAGGGAATTCTAGTTTATCTTTTTCTGGAGAATGACAATTTGGCAAAAACGGGCATTGACAAGATTTCTCCCTTCCTTGGTTCTGCATCTTGCCTTGTCCTACAGCTAAGTCAGCTTTGACTAATTCATTTGCTCATTCCTTCATTTAATAAACATTTTCTAAGCCCCTACACTGTATTCTAGATAACAGCTTGTGGCTGAGAACATTGCACTTGGTCTCCAGAACCCCTGAGCTTTGTTGCTGTTGGGGAGACTCAGGGGCTCCAGCTACCAGGCCTTCCGACTGTGGAAGAGAGTAGAGAGTCCATCAAGGAATCGGGACTTACCCATCTGGGGTGGGTGACAGGCAGGGGAGTGGAAGAGAAAAATTCACCAAGGTGACCATGTCACCCAAGTAAGCAAAACCATCCTACAACCCTCCTGCTCTCCCCCCATCTTTGATCACAAATATAGAACCAGAAAGTCCAACCTTATTTTACAGATGAGAAAACTGAGGCCCAGAGAGGTTAAATGACTTGCCCATGGTCGCACAGCTAGCATCTGAGGAAGGATTTGAACCCTTCCTGATTCCGAAGCCAGAGCTATAATGACCATAACATGCTGCTTCTTGTTCAGAATGGGCAGACATAAGGAAGAGAGGGCTCTAGAGTGAAGTCAGGGAAGATCCTAGGGGTTGTAGGGAGGAGGGCAGTAAAGGCCTCATGGATGTTTCTGTTGCTTATTCCCAGGCAGAGACTGCCTGTTACTTACCCATTTGGGGAAGTGGGGAACGGGACACAACAGCAGGGCCCAAGCCTAGAAAGAGGAGAGAAGAGTTACCTGGGACAAAGCATTAAGCAGGAGAGGCGAAGGGAAAAGAGTGGCCCAAGGTCTCACCTGCTGCTTGTGAGGACTTGCTGGGAAGTGCTGGTTTCATTGTTTTCTTCCCTGGGCAAGAGCGAGACAGAGAATAACAAAATCTCCAAGCTGAAAGGGCACTCAGACCACATCTAGTCTAGTCCACACATAATCAATATCCTCTGCAACAAGGTATCTGACCTCCTCTTGAAGACCTCCAGTGATGGGAAACTGGCCACCCCCTGAAGCTGTCTATCCCATTTTTGAATAGCTCTCATTGGCAGGAAGTACTTTTTTACATGAAACCAAAATCTTATCTGCAACATCTGACCATTGCTCCTGGTTCTGTCCTCTGGGGCTAAGCAGAATCCTATTCCTTCTTCCATATGAGTCTTCAAATTCTCCCACACAATAATCACGGCTCCCGTAAATGTTCTCTTCTTCAAGATAAAAATCCTCCATTTGAGGTCTTTAAGAGACTAAACGACAACTTTTGTCCAGTGTGTTTTGGTGATAATTCTTTTTTCAGTGTGGGTAGGCTTGAATGACCACCAGAATACCTTCTAACTCTGAAATTCTGTGATTCTCTAGTTCTATGAAGTGATCATATGGCTTGGTCTCTAGTTCTCTCTTTGGGAACCAAGAAACCAGAGCCAGCCCCCTCCTGCATAATTGCCTTCTGTCACTTAGCCTCTGGATCCAAAGGCTGATGAACCTCACCCCACCCCACAGAAAATCTTCCCAAATCAGCTCACCTGCTCGGGGAGGTCTTGGGGGAGCTATCGAACCTAGGGGAGAGAGTAGAAAAGCTGTTGGTTCATAATTTAAGAGGCATCCAGGTAGCAGTAGCTAAAGCCCTGGGCTTGGAGTCAAGAAGACTTGAATTCAAACCTGCCTCAGACACTTAACTAGCTATATGATCCTGGACGAGTCACTTCACTTCTCTTGGTCTGTTTCCTCATCTATAAAATGAGGGGTTGAATTTGATGGCCCCTAGGGTTTCTTTCACCTCTAACTCTGTGAACCAACCTGGTCTGTTCTACCTCCCTATTATCTTATTTCTTCTGCATTAGCTAGGCTCCCCTATTTCCTAAATCAGCAGTATCAAACGTGGGCGGGGAGTAGGGGTGGGGGTCAAATGCAGCCCAACCTGATTAAAATGTAATTGGGAAATATTTAGCAAAATAAATAAAAATTTGATAAAACATAGATAACATTACATTTTAAAACTAAGTCAATATGTGGCCCACAGGAATTCTTATTTACAGATTACTGGCCCCTATTTCTATTTTGAGTTTGACACCACTGCCCTAGGCCAACCTCTCTCTGCAAGGCTTCTGTGACCCAAAGACCAAGTTTCTAGAACCAGATCTCTAGGGGATGTGCCCAGTGGTGTGGAGCTGGGGAAGAGGTGGGGAGTAGGGAAACTAAGGCCAAAGAGGGGTCCTAAGGCCAAGGGGATGCATGGAGGTCCGGCCCATAAAGATTTCCTCTCCCACCCTCTGGTTAGCCCACAGCTGGTCACATAATGGAAGAGAAAACAATCTGGACTTAGAATCAGATACCAGCTCTGATAGGTCCTGACTTTGGCCTTGGGGCAAGTTTCTTCTCCTCTATGGACATGTTTTCCCATCAGTAAAATGAAAGTCAGACTAATTGATATCTAAGGTCTCTGCCAAGATTAAATTATCTGATTTACTGCCATTTAAAGGGGGGATAGGGGTGGGGAGAGGTCTTCCTTTCAGGCAGTACTCCCACATTCCTTACCCCTCAGCCATCCCAATCTTCCACCTGGGCCTGGAAACTTCCTGGTCCCTGGCTTGGGAGGAAGGTCTTCTTTGGATGGGGCCATGTTCTCATAATCCTCATCTTCTGGACCTTCAGTTACTCCTTCCAGAAAAAAAAAAGTAGTTTCTACTCATGCATATTGCCACTCTGATAGCCAGGGTAGTTGTGGGAGCTGAGCTGGGACACAACAGTGCCCCAAACTCTCACATGACCATTTGTCATGCCAAACTTCCACTCTGAATATGCCTCCCTAGTACCCATCCCCAGATCTCCCCTTTGCCACATGAATCCATTTCAGAGAGAGGCATCGGACATCCCAAGCTATAGGCATGCCTGGCAAAGTGACACCTAGCACAACCACCATGTCCCTAACCTCCAGACAAAACCTGCCTGAAAATCATACCTGTTTGTCCGTTGAATGCAAAATTTCTATACATGCTAGTGAAAGACATCACTGCCTACAGCCAGGGAGGAGAAGAGCCAGGACACCTCTGCTGCTCGATCCTTCAGTCATCTAGACTCAGACCTCATCCTCCCCACCTTCCGTCTCTCGTATAACCACATGCTAAGACCCACCTTGTCTCAGTTCCCTCTTTGTCACTGGGGGCAAGAACATGCAAATCCAGCCCCCTGCTAGCCATTCTCAGTGTAGGTACTCAGTGACCTAGCATCCCAGGGGGAAACTGGGGAACCCAGGGCTAAACATCTGTAGTCATGGGACCTGAGCTGAACCCCAGCTCTGCTGTTTATTACCTGCGTGGCCTCCAGCAAGAGACTTCAACTCTCTGGGATTCACTGTCTTCCCCTGTGGCAGGTGGCCAAGCAGTTAGCAATTAGTAAGCACCTAGTACGTGCCATGACTGTACTGAACACTAGGGGTACAAGGAAAGAAAAAAAAATCCTTGCTCTCAAGGAACTCAGAGCCTAATGGGTCAACAATTACTTACAAGCAAGATGTGTACAGGATAAATTGGGAAAGCTCTAAGATGAAGGAGGACTGGAAAAGGCTTCCTACAGAAAGGGAAACTTGTGCTGAGACCTGTGGAAAACTGAGGAGGCCAGGAGGTGATGAAGAAGAAAAGCATTTTAGGTGTGGGGGACATCCAAAGAAATGTTCAAAGCCATGAGATGGAATGTCATGTACAAGGAATAATAAAGAAGCCCAGGGTCATTGGATGGCAAAGTTCTTGAGGAAGAGAGTAAAGGGTAGGAAGGCTGGAAAGAGAGGAAAAGACAAGGTTATAAAGGGCTTTAAAAGCCAAACAGGATTTTACATTTTATCCTGGAGGTAATAGGGAACCACAGAAGTTTATTGGATGGAGGAAAAGGGGAGTAATATGGTCAGACCTGCACTTTAGGAAGATCAGTTTCACAGCCAAGAGGAGGATGGTCTAGAGTGAGGACACACTTATGGAACAGAGACCAAGCATTAGGCTATTGCAATAGTCCAGGTGTCAGTTGATGAGGGCCTGCACCAGAGTGGGTTGAAGAGTAAGAGGAGAGAAGGAACCATATTAAAGAGATGTTAAGAAAGTAAAAACAATAAGACTTGACCATAGATTGCATATAAGGAATGATAAAGAGTGAGGAGTCAAGGATGATGCCTAGGTTGTGAACTTCGGTGACTGGATGGCTGGTGGTCACCTTGACAGTAATAAGGAAGAAAAGGGGAGGATTGGGGGAGGGGGGAAGACAATAAGTTCAGTTTTAGACATGTTGCATTTAAGGTATCTATAGGACATCCAGTTCAAGATGTCTAATAACAACTCCTGGAGGTCAGGAGAGAGATTAGGGCTGGACAAGTAGATCTAAGAATCATCTGAATAGAGATGATAATTGAAACCATGGGACCTCGTGAGACCAAGTGACATAATGTACAGTGAAAAGAGATGAGGGCCCAGGGCAGAGTCTTGAGGAACTCTGACAATTAGTGAGTCCAGCAAAAATGAAGATTGAACAAAAGAAACAGAGATGAGTGGTCAAACAGATAGGACTAGAACCAGGAGACCCAACAGTGTCATTAGAAGAGAATATCAAGGACGGAGAAGGGACTGACAGTATCAAAGGCTGCAGAGGGGTCAGAAGAATGAGGATTGAGAAAAGGCCATTAGGTTTGTCAATTAAGAGATCTGGTAACTTTGGAGACAGCTGTTTCAATTGGATGGTGACGTCAGAAACCGGACTGCAAAAGTTAAGAAGAAAGTGAAAGGAAGGAAGTAGACAGACAGTCTTTGTGAAGAGTTTAGCCACAAAAGGGAAAGGAGATATAGAAGAATAGCTAGTGAGTATGGATAGATCAAGTGAAGGGTTTTTTGAGGATGATGGCGCTAGGGCCATGTTTGTGGTCAGTAGGGAAGCCAATAGACTGGTAGAAACTGAAGAGAAGTAAAAGAGTAGGGATGATACAGGGGTTCACTCAGGAAGGAATGAGATTATTGAATGTAGAGTAGTTTTCCTTAGCAAGGAGAAAGGCCACTTCTCTTTGTGAAAAACAGGTGATGGAAGAAAGAGTGGAGGAAGAGGTATTCATATGAAATAAAAGAGTTCAACTAGTTTCAGGTTAAGGCCCTTCTAGCTCTGAGTCTTGTGGTCACGGATTCTCAGAGTTAGAAAGAACATGAAAGGCGTTCTAGTCCAACCTGCACCTGAACAAAAATCCCCTCGAAAATTTACCCAACAGCATTCACTTCTGGGTCCACTGCCTGGCCTTCAGCTTCCTCCTTCATAAAATGATCAGGCGAAGCGGATGAGAAGGCAATATGATGTAGTGGAAAATCTACAAACAGCAGCAGCTTTTCTGTATATCATTAACAGAACCACAAAGGAATAGAGAGAGAGAAAGATTCCATTAAAAATAACTATAAATGACATTAAATGCCATTTGACAGTTAAGTTACCAGGAGATACTCAGGATTTATATAAATATTATAATATTTTATTATATATATAAAATATACTATAATATAGTTATATATAAATACTACAAAGCACTTTTTACAGAAATGAAGGCACTTTAATAATTTGAAAGGAACTCATTGTTTATCCTATTCAGGCCATATCAATACAATTAAAACTATGACACCACCTACATCAATTCACAGATTTAATGCTATACCTATGAAACTGCCAAAGGGATACTTTGTACAACTAGACAAAATACTAGCAAAATTCCTCTTAAGCAATGGTCTCTAGAATGGGCACTAATGCCTCCTCAGAAGCAAAGGCATGATCCCAAGCTATTTGTGATGAACCAATGGTGAGTGGAAGTATGAGTTGCATCTCACTCTTCTACCAATCACAGGGCTTATCTCAAACACTGCTACATCTTCCCTTCACTCATTACAACCCAATACTGCCTCACTTCCACCCCCTCCTACCACTATGCAAGCTTCCAACCTGACCGTTTATGAAATGGACATTGGCTCCACAGGGTAGAAAGATAAGTATGTGTTCATAAAAGATGGGTGGCATATCCACGTGGTTTGTGTGAATGTATAGACAAAGTCTGTGGACAGCATAGATAGATACAATCAGAGACTTGGCTCAGCTCCGTGAAGGGGAAAGTCAAGGGCAGTGTCTAGATTCTAGCTGGAGCTTGGGGACAGGGACAGGTAGTTCCCAGGAAAGCCACAAGCCCGGGTGCTTTTTTCTCAGTCTCTGAGAGGGATATTGGGTTAGAATTCTATCTCTCTGCCCCTCTCACATGAGAGGGCCAGTTGAAGGGAAGAGTGTTTAAAGGTTCAGAAAAAAGGCTACTTTCCTGGTTACTCTTAAGAGGGATGATAGCCCTTAGCTTAGACTTACCAGTTTATTTCCTTCCTACCAAACACTGATCACACCAAAAAAAAAAAAATCACAAATAGCAAATAGTTAGTAAACCCATTTGTCCAAGCAAAACAACAGAAACTGAAGAAATTCTATAGATTAAAACATGCCAGGAAAATAGACAAGAGTTAATGAGTTCTCCAATTGGGAATGAGATAATATCTCAGCTCAAACCAGGAAAGAAAGAATTCTCATTCTGGTGACCTCTAGAACTTCAAGCAAGTCCAAAAACATGACGTGACCAGCTTCCCACGCATGTCAGCTATTTCCCAGTCTTTCTCTTCCACCTCCCTGGAGTCTGCTCAGTCCAACTGTTCCTCCAGATAAGCCCTGGAACTAACTCCTTAAGTCCCTTACACAAGTACTTAGCATTTTCTCCAACAATCTATAGCCACCATCTCCTGCAAATGTAGCCACACTCAAAACATCCTGGGTTTGGATTATAGCCCACTTATGTAACCTAATCATAACCAGACAACACTAACAGCAGCTGCATAAGTACTACTGGGAAAATCCCCACCCTCAATATGCCCTCTCTTGGTCCCCCATATCTCCTTATTGCTTCAGTAGACATTCCTCAAAGGGTGGGCTCTGTAATTTGGGTCAGTGACCCTGCCCTCCCCTTTTCATTTTGCATGAGACAATGTGATTTGCATAGGATAGCATGGTTACAATCTGCATGCAGATCTTGTTACATTACCTTTTCCCCAAAGTCCACTCATCTTCCAAACTTCCCCATTTCTGTAGAGAGCACCACCATCTTTCCAGCCACCCAGGTTTAAAACCTCCTTGTAATCCTCATCTCCTCATTCTGAGTAACACCATATATTCAAACAATTACAAAAATTGTATCTTTTCTATCTCCACAATATCTCCCACATCTGTCCCCTTCTCTCTACTCTATAGCCACCTCTCTAATGCATCCTCCAGATAGCTACCAATGTGATTTTCCTAAAATAAGGATTGAACCATGTAATCCCTACTCAATAAACTCCAGTGGTTTCCTATTACCTCACAGATCAAATATCAATTCCTCTGGTTGGCTTTTAAAGTGCTTCACAATCTAGCCCCAACCTATTTTTCCAGCCTGTTTTATACTTTACTCCCTTTCTTAAATTCTATTGTCCAGCCAACTGACCTTCTTCCTTCCTTACACTGATTAGTAATCAAAATTAAAATATCCAAACGTGGATAAGACATTAAGGTATGATACCACCCATTAAGTAGAACCACATAAAACAAGAGGAATGGATTTATACTGAAAACTTTCTGCTGAGCTGAAATCAGCAGAATTGAAAAAAAATTCATTTTGATTGTAATTTTTGCATCATGTATATTGAATAACTACATTGAAATATGCTAGAAGAAGACTTCTTAATCATAGGATAGAGGAAATACTCAAACTTTTAAAATATGCAATTTTGATTATTTAATATTTAAAAGCTTTTGTAGGTTAAAGAGTGAGAAAATTCATTGTGCCAAATATATCTGATAAAATTTGGATTTGCCAGATGTATGAGGGATTGACATAACTATGTAAAACCAAGAGTTATTTCACAATAGATAAGTGGTCAAAGTATATGAACATTATTCAAAAAAATAAAGAAATGCAAAAATCATAACCATATAGAAAAATTCCCTAAATCACTTATAATAAGAAAATGCAAATTAAGACAAGGTTTTACCTCTTTCCATCAAATTGATGATGATTATAAAA